TTATTATTATTATTATTATTATTATTATTATTATTATTACTATTATTATTATTATTATTATTATTATTATTATTACTGTTGTTATTGTTGTTGTTATTGTTATCATTGTTGTTTTTATCATTGTTATTATAGTGTGATATTTTGACAATGACAATAGTTGGACCTTTATTATCACATCGTTTATGAAATTCCGAAGGATCCTTCAAACCATCTCTTAAACCACTCAATAACAGTTTAAAGGTATAAGGCATCTCACTTGGTTGATATCGATGACTATCATCTCTACGATCTATCCACGATGCGATTCTACAAAAATGTTTCCAACCAATTATATTTGACTCGTTATTGGTTATACCAAACATTCTAGGTGGCAGCATCATTGAATGCGTTGGATTTCTATTTGCTATATAGAAATTCTTTAGATCATTTTTCAATTCTTTTGTTAAAATTTTCTTGAAAGGTCTGATCTTATCCTGATAATCTGACCCCGATATTTGAAAGAACCTAATGTGCGGTAAACAATTTTTTAGTATTTGCTCGAATATTTGGAAATCTTCTAACGCCCATTCTGAAACATCCCTCCTACTACTATCATCGTTATTATTAATACTCTTATTATTATTACTAATGGTACTACTAATATTACTAATATTGCTACTATTACTACTTGTGCTATTAATACTATTGTTATTACCGTTATTACAAATGAAAGGCTCTTGTGCAAGTCCCCATTTAATCACCTGATCCCAAACTTCGATTTCCTCAATTTCCAAATCATCTCGTCTAATCAATTCCACCAATGCTTGTTCCTCCAATAGTACGCTATCCTCCGATTTCAAGATTGCCGCAGGATCATTATCAATAATTTCTTGGCAAAATGCATGGAGTTTTGCGCAAGCTTGATGTTTTGAGGTTAGTTGATGAATCTGTACCAGGTTTTGATTTATCCAATCGACTTCATTCTTGATTATATAGCCTTGAATATAATCTATCAATTCCAACAATGCTAATTCATCAGCTGCTATCAATAAATTTAAGTATTCCGATCTTGATTTATCATCATTTAATGCAATATCACCTGTGTACAAATACCTAATTAATAATATTGAGGGGATTTATTGTAAATTGTTTATATATATACTTTTTTACAAAAAATTTGTTATTATTATTATAAATATTGTTTTTATATATATACCTTAGTATAATATCAAATATGTAGGGAGAGATGTTTGGTTTTTGTAATAACATGATTTCACCCTCTTTTCTAACCTCTTTTCTAACCCAACTTGGAGATAAAGCCACTTTGAAATAGGGTGATCTGGCTCGTAGTATCACAGAATGAGCTTTAAAAGTTTGAAAGTTTGGTTCTTGTCCAACTTGAATTAAAACATTGTGATCGTCAGCAGTTGAATATAATAATGATACATCTTTTAATAACAATTTTTCTAATTCATTTTTATTCGTCATTTTTATAAATTATTTCTTGGTAATTGTAATGTTCTCCGATATATATAATATAAAGTTTTTAAGTTGTGGCTGTAAAGTTCTGGATTAATTAATTGCTTTTTGATGATAAAGTTTTTTTTTATCGATTGATTGTTATTATGTAGGTTACACGACATAACGAATAATCGCATTTATATATTATTATTGTTATTATTATTATTATGGTTATTATGGTGCACATTTTTTCTGAAAGAGTAATAGTAAGTAATGGCAACAGTAATAGTAATAGAGATAGCGATAGTAATAATAATAGTAATAGTAATAATAATAATAAAATATTTACGGCTTTTGTGCAGGTCATCTAAAGCCACCACCAAAATTGATGATCCTTTAAAGACACATGAATTTCAAAACTAAAAAAAAGTAAACTGATGAAGTTCTTTCTCCATTATTATTATTATTATTGAGCAGGTGGACATTCAAATTGTGTAACAAATTATTTCAATTAGCCGATTGGTCACACTTATGTTTGGTGATATTTATTACGAAGAACCGTTTCAGAACTGCTTCTATCGTTGTGTAATTTTTAAAGTTGTAACATTTTTTATCATTATATAGACCTTGTAATTTCGTGACTTTTTTTTATTGTTTCAAACATTCTGATTGGCCGATAAATCACGGGATTATTTTTTTTGAAAGTGCGTACACGTAATACGCGCGATTTAATAGTAATCATACTTTATTGAAAATAAAATTATAAATTTATCTAGATTTTTCTCTAACTTCAATATATATTTATAACCTAAAAATCTTTACAATGGTTCATGTTTTTAAAAGACAATCAAGAAAGAACTTATAATGGGTTATCACCATGATAAAAAGAAGTGAGAATAATTACCATGGTAAATACCCAATATTACTATACATATTGAATGGCTATATAAAATCAGGATATGATGATAAAGTGTCACGCATAGCACAACAGGCAAAATAATAAAATTATTAAAACCTCAGGTTCTCAAAAAGTGTACTTTTGATAATTACACACGATCAGCAATTCGTCCTTCACTACCCTTGTTCAAAGTTGATGAAATGTTTGCACTAAGGCTCCGCATGAGCCAGCTCGCAAGCCAGCTCGTAAGGAGCTTTAGTTTGCACTATATTAAAAACAAATCAATATATGTATAGTCACTAAAAATTTATTATTTGGTGATCGTAAACACCTGGTTTGATTTGCTGTCAATTTCATCAAAAGATCCTTGGTGATAAATATGAATTTCGTTTTGTCAATTATTCTTAGTTAAGATCTAACAATGTTTAAGAACTTTGTTGGTGAGTCTCTTCTTGCTGAAGTTGGGCTGCAAAGGCTTTAATTAGCTTAAGTACTGCATGACATTGGTTGATAATTTTGGGTTATAAGCATCAAACACATCATCAAGGTGTTTATTTTGATGGTTATGAAAGGGAGGATGTAGATGAAGAAGATATCAGTGACCTTGTGGAAGCTTTTAAACTGAGAGATACTCCTAAAGTTGAAAATTTCCTTTGGGAGATTTTCCCCACTCCAAGACATCATCTGGAGCAGAAGAAATAACTCCTTCAGCTTCGGAAGGAATGCCCTCTTATACGAAGAGATCACTCAGTGGGGTATAAGGTGCTCTAATTAATGTGTTGTAACATCAATTATAAACTTTTTTAAAAAAACAAATATATATATATAAATTATATAAATAAAAATTCAATCAGAGCCTTCAACTAAAGAGATACAAACATTTTGCGATTTGCACATATTTTATTCATTAACTCAATATGGAAAGCGAAAAAATTATATTGGTTTAAAGGCTGTAATTGGTGTTGTGCATGACACAAATCACAATTCATGATGCATGACGCAATTCGTGGTGCAAGACGTAATTCATGATACAAGACATAATTTAAGGCAAAAGACTAGAGATGGTGACTGGAACTAACCTATAGTTTAGGTATTCAGGCAATTTTGATTAGGTCTAACTTCGCCCATGAAAAATTTTGGCGAAATTGGTGAAACTTAGCAATTAAACCCTACTACTACTGTTTTATTCAGAATTAATTTGTTTTATTATTTATTAAATTATAAAAATGTTTATTATAATCATTATTATTATTACAAACGAATTAGGTCAAAAGTGACGATAATCATAATCCTTTCTCTTAAAATTAATCTTTGTAATTAACATATAAAAATAAATAATTAAATGTAAATAATAAAAAATGCGAATAAATGTTAATAAAAAAATACGAATATTATTAATACGAAAGAGACTATTATAGGTCACATGTATGGCATACGATTGGACGGCACTTCAATAAGTCCGTTTTATTTATCACAATATAAAACTTTGCTCATAGGTTTGACAACTTAACCACAGCTTAAAACTTCGTCCACAGTTTACGAGTTTCTCCCATAGTAATCTTTTGTAAAAAGTTATTATTATTGAAAATGATCTAGTATCCCTGTGGTAACTAAAATTTAGGGGGGTATAAGTATATTTCTGAATATTAATAATATTATTATTAAAATATTTTTTATATCGGGAAGGGAGTTCCTTTTTTAAACAGTGCTAAATCAAAAAAAACAAAAAAGTTTTATGAATTGTGTCTTGAAAACTTGAATTACATCCTGTATATCACGAATCTTGCATCTCGCATCACATGCATAGCTTTAATTTGACAATATTTGTATAGTAACCAATATAACTGTTTTGCTTTTTTTTACCAAATTTCTTAATAAAATCCTTTTATTGGAAATACAAATTTTCATGTGCGTATTTGTTAGGATTTACTTTTTAGTGCAAAATGTAATATCAGATCCGAAACTGACCTGAAAATTTTGGGGGTTTACCTTTAAAACATTCGGATCAAACTTGAAACTGATCTGAAATTTCAGGTTAATACTTAACCTGCCCGAAAACGGTCTGATTGGGGCTTTAACCGCTTGCGATAATTGTTGTTATTAAGGAATATCAGTCAATTGAGTTGTGATAAACAACTAATTGCAACGGCAATATAAATCAATACCAAAGCCCAGTCGATCATGGATGAGCCAGCTGTTGGCCAAAAACCTTTATCGCTGCTGTAATTCTTCAGCACTTATATTTAAATGCTAAATGTTTCACTTGAGATGTGACCATTGATGCAGCCGCAAAAATCAATCCGTATGAATTTGCAATTCACATGTAGGATGAGACAGGCAGAAAGAAACTCATTGACCCAATTGAGAAAAAGAGATCTGCTTTTGAATCAGGTATGGTTACTAAGCCAAAACAAATTACATATTAACTTAAATTGATAAAAATTCTAGTGGTTCTCTTTCTGCCCATATTTAATATGATGAAAATCAAAAGGAATTTTCGCACCTAGATAGTCCTCCATATTTTATATAGGGATGATTGCATTATGGTTCAACTTTATATTTAGGGTGTCGTACCGAATTTATTTATGGCTTATTTTTATTTTTATTATTTTATTATTATTTTTATACGATAATAATAAAAATTCTATATATGAATAAAAATAACTATTAGACTTGTGAACACACTCATTTTTACTTTTTGTGTGAGAGAGAATTCTACTGTTTTTGATATCAATCATTACAATTAAAACCATGTTAGAAAATAAAATAAATAATACAAACAATAAAAACATTAATAATAATACAAACAATAAAAACATTAATAATAATAATAACAATAATAACAATAATAATAGTAGTAGTAATAATAATAGTAGTAGTAATAATAATAGTAGTAATAATAACAATAATACTACTAGTAGTAATAATAATAATAATAATAATAATAATAATAATAATAATAATAATAATAATAACAATAATAATCATAATAATAATAATAATAATAATAATAATAATAATAATACTAATAATTGTTTTTTCTATGGAACTTTAATGTTTACTCAAGTGATTGAAAGGGTATTAAATAAGAATAAGAATGATTGTTTAGTTGACTTAAATAGTGGAGTCACTGCTATTTTGAAGGTCGACCATTATTAATTGTAATTAAATAACTTAATTTTAAACTTGGAATTTAAACTTTGAATTAAACTATTAATTTAAACTACCGGTTAAACTTTAATTGTGTAGGGATATAAAAGATTGAAGGTAAAGGATGCATCATATCCAGCAATAATAAAAACAGATAATGATATTGACACAGTTGAAGGTATACTAATGAGGGGCTTTAGTGATAAAGACTTCGATAAATTGGACAAGTTTGAAGATGAAGTAAGTAAATTACTATAGCATTCAGTTCAAGTCGATTCATAATTTAACAATAATAATTTAATTGGTATTATTTGATTAGGACTATGATAGAATAAATGTCGATGTTTATGTAGCAGGGGAAGGAAGAGATTCAAAAGAGCCAATCAAAGCACAAACTTATATTTGGATAGCTTCTAATGATTTGTTAGAAGATAAAGATTGGAGTCCTGAATATTTCAAAGAATACATTAGAAGTTGGAATGAGAAAGATTTTGAAGAATTGTAATAAGGTAAATAAATGCCAAATGTAAATCTTGTCTATTAAAATCTTGGGATCATAATAATTTCAGGGTCCTTCTAATACTAACTAATAATACCAATGGAATAGTGGAATGTATTTAATTATCTTTTGCGAATTAATTTCAAAGCGACTGACCCATGCATGTGTCATTTGATCATTTTCATTAACTTGGAAGAAATTTGCTGCAAAAATAAAAATGGCGCCAGTACAGTTTTGGATGTTTTCAAAAAGTGGGACTTTAATAACAAACGGAAGCTTTTAACATTAAAATAAAATCTTAAATTTTTAATTCCTTTTCAGGGTATGATTTAAATTAGAAAGTGATTCAGAGGCTTAAATTACATTTGATTTATTTTACTTTTCGACAAAGAGTTTTCACTTATGTTTGAGTTCTTTGTCCTGAAAATAGCATCATTCACCTAATGATGATGACAAATTGCAAATCACCAGTGCAAGGTTTCAAGTCATAGAAACCTTTAGTTTTTTAATCATGCTTGATAAGACAGACAGACAACATATATAAACTCTCGTTAACCCCCCCCCCCCCCCAGCCAGATAATGATGACGATGGCTCTCGATAAGCCGTTCCATGTAATAATATTTACCATTTTTAATTATTCAATTATTAATGTTGAAGATTTTAGAAAAACAAAAATAAAATAAAAGTCGTGAAATAAATTTTTATTAACGGTGGATGATTCTTTCGTTTTTATATATCACGCGGTTAATCTCGATAAGTCGGTCTTCTCAATCAATTGTAGTGCTTGAAATTAATGTAAATAAATAAATGACCGACTCATCGAGTTTACCTAATCATTCCTTCAACTGTTGTTTCTTGTAAAATCACATTATTTGATAACTCGGGTCCTTTGACAAGTCGGATCGTCATGCCTAGCCACTCATGTTCGACCTATCAAGTTTACTATTAATATCATTATAAGTTCTAATTATAACAAACTACTATGCCGAGCAATCCTGGGGCATATTAATATACTCACAATTATTTTAAGTTACAAGACATTTATTTGTAAATAGATGACATCTCGTAAGATTCTTCTTGTTTACCTTTTTTTATTGTATGCAATTACCATACTGTAAATAGATGACATTTCGTAAGATTCTTGTTTACCTTTTTTTATTGTATATATACAATAACAATACTGTAAATAGATTACATTTCGTAAGATTTTTGTTTACCTTTTTTTCTTGTATACAATTACCAGATGAAATTTCGTAAGATTCTTGTTTACCCTTTTTTATTGTATACAATAACAATACTGTAATAGCAGCAATAATTATAATTTTCGTTTCTCAAAAAGTGATAATATTACTCGTCAGCATTGTATACTATTTATTTGATAAATTAACATTCGCCGTTGGAGGTTAGCAATAATTCATGTTAAAGCTTGCAGTACAAGGCCATCTGAAAGGGAAAATACATGGTTGCCTTAAATTATTTAACCAGGAAACAATGAAGACGATTGCATAGAATGTCTAATCCATTTATTCATCAGAAACAAGTTTTAAGGAACTCTACAACTTGTAATTGTGTACAATTAGTAGAGGCAAACTTTTCCACTACCACTTGGATGACAAGACGATGAAACCTCGTCCTACACAGAAAGGAGACTCGGATTTAAAGCTATCGTGGACTTATTTTCTCCAACTCTGCTAAATCTTCTTCACCTTCTTCACCTTCATTCATTATCTTGACTCTCCATACCCATGAATTGCTTCTGTCGGGGGTTTTTCTTGGGATTGGTTTTTCGCTGGTGGAAGTCCTTGATAGCGGAGGTAACAATTTCTTTATTCTCTCTTTCAGGAAATTCACCAATTTCAATTATCCGAGTCCTGCTCAACGCTTTTGTCAAATAGGTGTTTAAACATCTTCCAAGTATTTATTTTCATCAACTGGCTTACTTGATATGTCAATTATTTTGTCAATTTTAGATGATGCAAAAAGGATTCGATTAAGATTGTTTGCAATTTGATTTTACGTGGATGATAACAAAGATAATTTTTTCCTACATGTTATAAATAAAGATTTGGATTTTTATATTTGTTATTAAATAGTAAAAAGAATTTTAAAAATTTTTATTACTAATTATTTTTGGTGGTCATCGACGAAGGAACATTATTAGTATTGGTAAGCTGTGTTGTTTATATATCTTTATTTAGAAATTATTACCAACTTTACTCACTAATTTGACTTTTGTAATTTCCTTGTGCATAATGCATAATCTTGATTTTTTTGCAGTACGCCCCAAATAATGTAAAGAGTATCGAGCGTTTGTTTATTTAATAATAAATAAATAATAACAACAACATAGTGATAATGATAATGATGATAATAATAATAATAGCAATAATAAAATAATAGTAATAGATATTTATGAAGATTGATACTTTTAACCTTAATATTATCTGTTTATACATATAAAATATAAAACAAACATTACTGTAATCGTAATTACATAAACATTTATCCGAATTTGTGTGTCTCATTCTCACACATTGTCTAAATTTCTGTATTAATAATGAAATACTATGTGAAAGTCATAGGATAATTGTGAATCTACATTTGAATTGATATCAAAATGGTTGGTTTGTCGAATCATCAAAAAGATCCTTTTTATTCGTTTACAACACATAATTAATTAAACATAAATGTGTCACTATGAAGTTAAAACCTTAATTAAATCCATTTTAGGTTAAAAATATCCCTTGAAAATTTTTTAATAAAAAAAATTCATAAATAAAATTTCTTTTTTTATTTTTTATTTGATTTTTCACTTTCCAAATAATAAATATTTCATTACCCCCTACCAAAAAAATACCTCTTTTACCTTCCTTCTTCCTCTTCAGTTATCCACAAAATGTTCGTCAAAGCTTTATATGATTATGATTCAACCGAAATTTCAGGTCTATCATTTAAAAGAAATGATATTATTCAAGTGATAAATCAACTTGATAGTGGTTGGTGGGATGGAATATGTAATGGAATACGCGGTTGGTTTCCATCAAATTATATTACAATGGTTAATGATAAAGAAGGACTTTATCATCTAAGTGTTAATCAGCAAATCAAAACTATTCTTAAGGAATCAGTTCTTGAAGAAGAATTGGTATGTATTAATTATTTGGTGTGGGAGAAGGTAGAACGGCGTGATATTATTACATATATTTATTTATATATAAATAAATCACATTTACATAATTTCACTAATACATAGCCATTTGGTTGGGAGAAAAGACAATCCCCGGATGGAAATGCTTTTTATTATAATAAACTATCTAATGTATTTTCATTTGATCATAATCCAATTGATGATGATGATTATTCAGATGATAACGATGACAATGACGATGATGATGATGATGATGATGATGATGATGATGATGATGATGATGACGACAATGGTTCAGTTGGAACTACAAATTATGATACTCCAAATGAATCCTTTGAAAATAGTAATAATCCACAAGGTGCTAATAATAATAGATTATCTTCCTCCTCATCCAAATCATCATCCTCTAAATCCTCGTCATCATCACATTCTTCTTTTTCTTCTTCTTTATTAAATAAACAAAAAACATTAACGAACGTTAAACACACAAAATCTTCCTCAACAACATCGATATCTTCTACATCAAGTAAAAAAAAGAAACCTCAATTATCAAATATTTGGGTTTTAAAACATTCTTCTTCAGACAATAATATAAATGGTAATAATGATAATGATAGAAATATTTATAGTACAATAGGCGAAGAAGATGAGAGCGTGAGGCCTTTTGAGAATGAAGAACAAGTAAGTGTGATACATGCATATCTCTATGCATGTGTATGCATGTTTGATGCGCATATTTATTTATTAAATGATATTTTTATTTTCCACAAAATGTTAGAATTTGTCAGAGAATTTCGAAATTAAAGAAAAAGTCAGCGAAGAACTAAGATGGAACCATGCAAATTCTTCATCAACAACAAATTATACTCTAACAAGCAATATCAGAAAAACGACTTCGTTGTCTTCTTTACATCACAACAAGCAACAATATGAACATTATGAGCAATGCGATCGTAATGATGACATTAATAACAATCAATCTTATTCTAACAGCATCGATCCTAATAACAACATTACCAACAATCAATTATTATTGCAAAATCCGGACAACGAGCATTTCACTTGGGACTCATTATTGAATAACGTCATCTACTCAGTAAATCAATTAACAGCATCGGCAAATGACACCAACAAACACGAATTCACGCAATACATTGACACCGTTAATCGAAGTATCAGAATCATGTTGTACGCGTCAGATACAATCAATCGTGACTCGATAATATTCAAAACTTTCCCCAGCCTATCCAAATTCCATAACGATGTTACCTCCTCGTTGTTCAAATTGATTTTGTCGGCTAAAATCGCGTCGAACGAATGGTCGCCGCCTGGTTCGACAGATAGGATGATTCAGGAATGTAAATCGTTGTTGGATGCAACTAAACAATTTGTAAATATTTCAAAAGATTTGATTGTAATTAAGCGTGTTGATCCTAAAATACCAAGTAGTAGTAATTATGGTAGCAATAATAATTATGCTTGGAATCACAATTCCGATTCCAATCTTAATACATCAGTTATAACTGATCATTTTCGATCCAAGAAAATTCTTTTATCATCAAGTCTAGCAGTTTTGTTAGATCAATCCTCAAAATCCATTTCCAGATTAATCTCTCTGGTAAACACTCAACTCAAACAATCATCGTCATCTCTATCATCCTCATCATCCTCATTATCATCCTTGCAACAACGAACTCGAATCCAAGTTGAATACAACTTTAACATTAATCATAGCATAATGCATGTTCATAAAATTGTTTCGCAAGTAGGTCAATTCTTAGCTTTGATCAAGAATATTAATATATCGAAATTAAACGAGACAAGCAACAATTCAATACAAGAATTTGAAATTGCAAGACAATCATTGTACAATAATGTTGCTTCTATTGCAATTTTGACTCAATTCGCCACCAAGATCAATGGCATCAATGACAATAATATCAACAAGACTATTGATCAGTTATTATTTGCAAATTTGGAATTGGACAAATCAGTCAAAAACCTTTGTTTGGCTGTAAAATTTTTGATCGAAGAAAAAGAAAATCAAGATGATTCCAGGAAATTATTACTTTTAGAAAAGAAGAATGTTGAGATTAATGAAAAAGAAGACGATTATAATATTAATAATCTTGCAAGATCTACAACAAAAGCAACACCTCCAGTCGCTACTACTACTCTGGCATCACCAATGCTTGCAACTTCGCTATCAACGCCATCATCGCCATCATCACTATCATCATCATCTACACTAATAAATGTTTCAAATTTATCATCATCCTCGTTGCCATCATCACCTATTGATTCACCGGCAATGAAATGCTTACAAACTGTACCAGAGAATGATATAATATCACTAAGTTGTAATAATGATAACGATAATGGAGGTAGTAGGGTGGATAATAGGAAAGATGGTAATGAATCAACAAAAACTTCCAATCACCCAAAAGCTTTGGTTAAAATTAATACATCATTTGGTAATCCTAATAAAAAAGTTGGCATTTCTTCGCCACCAATATCACCAATAACAACAATTGATTCTGCTCCTACTAATAATGCTTTAATTAATAATAATAATAATAATAATAATAATAATAATAATAATAATAATAATAATAATAATAATAATAATAACAACAACAACAACAACAACAACAATAATAATAACAATAATATGCAAAATTATGAGAAACCATGGTTTCTATGTTATGATTACGATATATCAGAAATGTGTTTCAATGCGGACAATTTAGTAATTGGCGGCACGTTGAAAGCATTGGTCGAACGATTGACAATGCACGATTTGCTAGACTCGAATTTCATAGCAACATTCCTGTTAACATTCAGATCATTTTGTACAGCTGATGAATTATTTGATTTGTTGGTTGAAAGATTTATTATAAGTCTACCAGAAGATAGAGAGATTTCCAGGGAGGAGTTTGAAATTTGGACCGAAAAGAAACAGATGCCGATTAGGATTAGAGTTTTCAATATTTTGAAAAGTTGGTTGGAAAGTTATTATATTTACGAGCAGGATAAACATTGCTTGGAAAGAATGAAAGAGTTTGCTAGCACTACAATGAATATTTATATGACTAATGCTGCTACTTCTTTACTAAAAGTTATCGAAAGAAGAGTACGTATAAAATATGAATTATATTGGTTGTGTGTATATTAAGCAAAAATGCTCTTTTATTTTTTATAATGATGATGACATACTATTTTTGTTTTTGTTATATAGCAACAACAACCACATGTAGCAACATTTAAAGAATTGATACAAACTTTTTCAGCACCACCCCCACCACCGATTCTACCCAGAAGTCTAAAACGAATCAAATTTTTATATTTGGATCCTTTGGAAATTGCAAGACAATTCACAATTATCCAGAGTAAATTATATAATAAAATTAGACCTGTCGAGTGTTTGGATAAAGCATGGAGTAAGGAAGAAGGTGGTGATTTAGCCGTAAACATTAAAGCCATGATACTTAACAGCAATCAAGTAAGTGATTGATTTGTTGGTTGGTTGATTCTAACCGTATCTCACCATCAAATAATTTGATTTTTTTTAGACAATCATATGGGTTCAGAAAATGATATTGAGTCAATCGGAAGTTCGTAAACGATGTTCAATAATTAAACATTTTATATATATAGCTGATAAGTGCAAACAGTTGAATAATTTTAATACTTTGATGTCAATTGTATCCGGATTAAATTCTTCGCCGATATACAGATTGAGAAGAACATGGGAAACTGTGCCGGCAAGACATATACAAACTTTCGAAATGCTGAAAAAAATAATGAATGCATCTAAAAATTTTTCAGAGTATCGAGAAATGTTACACAGAATTAATCCACCCTGTGTTCCTTTCCTTGGTAAGTGATAATTTAGCAAGGAAGAAAGAAAAATAAATAAACTAAAAATTACGTGATTTCTGATTCAGGCAGATAGACGCTAATTAATTAATTACTTACTTATTCAGGCGTGTATTTGACGGATTTGACGTTTATAGAGGATGGGAATCAAAACACATTGAAAAAACAGAAAAATCTAATTAATTTTTCCAAAAGAATGAAGACTGCAGAGGTCATTCGTGAGATACAACAATATCAAGTGCCTTATAATTTGAGTCCGGTGCATGAAATTCAATTGTTCTTAACAAGTCATATTGAAGATAGTAATGATTCTAGTGATTTTTACGACAAAAGTTTAGTAATTGAGCCAAAGTAAATATATTTTGTTGTTGTTGTTGTTGTTGCTTGCTTGCAAAATCGCACGCAATATTTTAATCATTTAATCATGAATGGATGATTAATATTGACTTTATTTTTCTTTTTGATTTGTTCAGGGAACGAGAAGATGAAAAGATTGCTAGATTACTCCAAGAATCTGGATTCTTATAAATATTCCCATAGTTTTTTTTTATATTTAATTATAGAATATATATATATATATATATACCATACATATATATATCATACATATGTATATATATGGTACATGTTGTGTTTTTTTTGTATTTTTATATTTATTTGTAAAAAAAAAAAAAAAAAATTCTATATTTATTGTTTGTTTGTTTATTTTTCACCAAAAAAAATTATTCGAAACAAAAAAAAAAAGTCACGATATGCGTGTTAAATTAATTATTCATATATATCAAGTAAGAACATAAAGAATTTAATATTATTTCTTGGTGCAAATACGAAACCAACGGTTTATCTCATTGACGCACCAATTAAAGTGGGATTGGATTTTGGATCAGCCGCGTTAATAACATTAATGCAATATTGAATTCAGCTGATCAAATCCATCAATCCATCAATCAATCAAAAGAAAAAGGGTCTACATTTTGTGGCAAGATTTTCAAAATTGATTATTAAAAATAATCTTTTTTCTCAAAGCAGAATAAGTGGTGAATGTTGATTTATGCATAATAATAAATAATTTAAAAAACATTATTATCATTATAACTACTGAAAAAGAACGGCTTTTAACCATATTTGGCAAATATAAAGGAAGTTGTTAACTGTAATCCCGAACAGTTTCCTAAAACAAACATGAATTAAATTATGTGTATGAGTACGATGTACATGTATGCTGTTGGTATAATATAAATAAAAACTCTTAAAAGACAAAGTAAAAAGGAAATTTTGATGCAGATCTGTTAACAAAGTAATCACCAAAACTAAAAAGAGAATAATAACAATTATTGTTAGCGAAAACCACAAAAAAAAAAATTTTACATGTAATTTAAAAATGCATTTTGGAGATAAAATTTTTTAATTGATTAAAAAACGAAACGAAAACAAGACAGATAAACAAAACAAACAAATATTAATTTAATTTTAAATAAACAAAATGCATGGAGATAAAAAGATTGTGTATGATTCAAACAAAGATAAGTATGAATAATAAATAAAAAAGCAATTCAATCAATGTCAGTCAACTTTTAAAAGTTGAAAATAATGGCAGGGCAGAAGTTATAGTGTGTGTTGGTGGTGTGTGTGTTGGTGGTGTGTGTGTTGGTGTGTGTGTGTGTGTTAGTGTGTGTGTTAGTGTGTGAGTGAGTGTGTGAATTTGAAAATCATAATCACACCAAATTAATCAAGGAATTTATAATTAGAATAAATAACACATTGGGATACCCAAACAGTGTTTGGAGTTGTTACACTTTCTATATTTAAAAAAGATTAGGATGAGAGTAAAAAAAGCATAGTTGAACAGCCTTGTTTTTTCTAATTTTGGTTAGATGAAACAACAACAACAATATTAATGATAAGCAACAAGAATTAAAACGAATTGCGAATGTATTATCGATGCGTTTTGGAAGTGGTAACTATTGTAATTATCATAATTATCGTTATTATAGCGGTGACGACGATGACAGGAACGATTTTCGCATAAGAAAGTCTACGGAAAATGAGTTCCTGATGATAATTTATTGTTACATATAAGTTAATGTCTATTATTATTATTTACTATTACACAATTTAAAGTTGGGTCTATAAAAAAAAATTTTTTTTTTGAAAATCGGAGATTTTTCACCGATAATTAAAAACAAATTCGCGTCCTCTTTGATGTTCTACCAATTTTGGAAATAATGGACATTTGTAAAATATTTGGGGACACTAAATTTACTTTACACTTGATTGTTCTAATTATTTATATCGAAAATTCGAAAATGTAAAAAGTCTTATAAATACAATTTGAATTTTTCATCTTGGTTGTTTTTGTTTTTTTTTTAATATTAAACAAACTTCTTTAATCGTTCAATTCATTTAACTACAAAAAAAATCATTTTAACCAAATCCCATTTTAACCACAATAAATAATTTTAGTATCTTGATTTCTTCCAGTTAAAGAAAGACACTTATTTATTTATAAAATTATTAATTTAGTGGTTCCATTATTAAAAAAAAAAAATTTTTTTAAATAAACAACAAAAAAAAAAAAAAAAACCAAAATGGACGACTATATTCTTAATAATATTGAAAAATATCCATTTATTTTTGAAAATGTCATAGACAATAATTGTATTATTTTAACTAATGCTATAAACTATAATAATATTAACAATATTAACAACAACAATGGCATCAATTATGATAATAATGGCGCTAGCATTATCGAAAATAGCTTAATCATTTCCAAGAACAATTTAAACACTGCCTTGGCTCGTAAGCCCGTGATTCACGATTTTCCAAATATTAATTTACCTTTTCCTCCTGTTATTAAAGCAAAGGATCTTATTGATCCCGAAACCAATTCAGTCAACACTTCCTCCACCAACTACGAGGCTGCCACTGTCAACACCAACACCACCGCTATTTATAAAAACAGCAAAAAGAAAATCAATAAATTAACTACAAAAGCTCCCAACAAATTTTTTATTTACCGTAAAGCTTGGGTTATGGAATTAAGAGAAAGGGGTTTTCAATACCCAATGACTGAAATTTCTGGCTTCATAGCAAGGAAATGGCAAGAGGAATCTCCAGAACGTAAAAACGCCTATGTTAAAATTGCTATGGAAGCAAAAACCCTACATAAACAGAAATTCGGTGATAAAATCAAATATAATAATAACAATGATTTCACCTCGGCTTCATCTCAACCTAAAAAGACTATCAAAAAAAAATCAAAAGTTAACAATATCAGCAATAATAAGAAATTAAAAAAATCTTCTTCCCAACTTTATATTCATAATAATAATAATAACAATAACAATAACAATAACAATAACAATAATAATAATAATAATAATAATATAATATTGTCATCACAATCACCGTTAAATGTCATTCCCTCCTCCACTTCTTCCTCATTATTATATAATCCTCAATCATCATCACCTTTAATGTTTCTTCACAATTCATCAAACATTTCATACTTTTCTCCACAAATTTCACCATCAACTCCAATTAATCAAATCAATCAGTTTAGCCAATTTAAACAACAAATGGTATCGTTACATAATCACACAACCATTCCTTCTTCTTCACTAATATTACCTACCCCTGGGACCACTCCAACTCTTCCTACTCCTGTTTCTTCTCCAATAATATCCCAACCTTCTTCATACATCGATGACAATTATTTTAACGAATTCATCAATATTGATAATAATACAACCATCACCTCTAACAATAACAATGAGGAAAATTTACCATGTGATCATGATTCACCTTCAACCATTCATAGTAGTGAAAATGGTGATTTGGAGGAAATTGATCCGGATTTATTTACTTTTTTAATTTAGTAAAAGGTTGATTGCTTTATATGTTTTAGGTTTTTTTATGTTTTGTATATAACTTGTATAAAAATTTTAAATTAATTTTCATTTTATTTAATTTTATATATATATATATATATATTACCAAGAGTTAATTAAATTTATATATCTTTCTGTATATTTTATTTATATATTTATTATTTATAATAATAGATAATTATAACAATGATGTCGAATAATAAAATAATGATTTTGAATTATTAATATAACATATGCATTCTGTCATCTTTGTTGTTAATTTCATCCTAAACTTCATCATGATCACACACTTATAGAAGTTGACCACGAAAAGAGGCTGATGCCATACCTCTTTTATATCCCCCTGTGGATATAATTGAGGTGGGATATAGCTCAAGCAGTCGATCAATTCGCGTGATTTTTAATTTAAAAAAAGATTTTGTTATTGCATGATATATGTACATCACCCCAAAACAAAAACGCCACACAAATGTAAAGATATTCTGCCGCCACCAAAAAAAAAGTACTCATTAAATACAGCATGGTCAAAAATCTTCTTATTGGCTAGCTGTTTAATTTATATGCAGATCACAATCATAAGGAGTATTCAATGAAAGCTTTTCCTAATTTTTTATTGGAAGATCTGAGGGAACGAACAATTAAAATTTATTATTATTCTCAATAACAATTTAGAAACGATTTTCTAAAATTTCAAAATATTATTGATTATGTAGATCAGTCCAAATAATAATCCTGATCTCCATCACCTAATAAGGTACTGTCAACAAGGAACATCTTTGAATACCCCTATAATAAGTTACACGGATGAAATTGTAGCTAAAAAAAAATGTTTGTATAAATTAATTAAATTAATGCAAGTTTTTGAAACGTATATATATATATATATATACACATAAAATACTCATTTGGCATACATTATAGATCTTTTTCAATATATCACTTCGACCAATATCCGCGCAATCATGCATCCTTATTTTTTATTATTATATAATAATAAGAAAACTTACATAATCTTTTCATTTTAAACAATAAAATGTGTGGATAAAGTTTCAGAGAGTAATTTATTACTATAAATCACGTGACGAATTAAATTTTGAAAAAGATATTATAACAGTATAATCGTATAAGAACTAAAAATAATACTATCCCGAGAAAAAGTTTACTACTACTACTGCATTCCACTATCAAGTAAAATTCTACCATAACAAATTTCTTTTTTATTATTATTAATTTTTCTATAACGAATATCTTTATTACTATAGTGAACAAAGGCACAAAATACTTGCTTATGTGACAAGAAGTTCCATTATAGAGAGCAAACTGTGACTTTATATTGAAAAAAATATAAATTTAGAATTTAATGTTTAAAATCAACTTTTAAAACCTCAATTCAACTCCAATTTAACTCTGTGCCATGCATATAAATTTACCACTGTGTTTCGAAATGTTTTATGGTGATAGTATTCATTACTATTAGGGTTTGTATCCGGTTTATTTTTTGTCAAACCGGATCCAAAACGGATTTAGATTTTTGGACAATAACAATCTTTGTTTTATTATTGTGCAAATAATAAAGTTTATAAAAAAACAAAATTTCAGTAATGAAGATAAACTGCTCTGATACGTACATCAACC